GGCCTCTGAACCAGCTGTCTCAAACTAGGCTTCCCTGGGCTTTGCTTGCCTGTTGTAATCATAGCTTTTTAAATTTAAAAACCACCCACTCAGAAAACTACTCAGAAAGTAAAAGATGGCTGCAAGGAGTGGCTTCCTTTCCATCAGACACATGCAAAAGCAATTTTAACTGTAAAAAGTAGCGTAAGAAAACACTCTCTAGCTTTGTGTGTCACACAGCACATGGCAACCAGCGAGGGATCCCTCAAGAGCAAAGATGTACTCACAATCAGCGCACAAACAAAGAGCTTCACAGTCATCACATGGACGTTCTTGGCTCGGCAAGACTGTAAGCCACAGTGACCTGAGCTTCCTGAGGAGGTCACAGCAGCATCTGAACCAAAGACCAAAGTCCTGGGCACCTACATCAAGGGTGGGCACCTGACCAAGTCAGGCTGGGCCTAGGGCTCACTTCCACCACATAAACTCAAGAGGATCTTTCAGGGTTCCTCCTTCCTAGAACACTGGAATCACTCTACAGTATAAACCTATATTTAGCACATTTTCAGAGAACTGAATCATACATTTTCACTGCTTCCTTTTTTAATCTGCTTAAGAAACTTCATCAAGCCACCCCTCACTAAGTACCCAAGAAAAGACTGTATTAAGCAATGTGCTTGTTTAAGATCTCTAGGGGGCTGGAGTGATCGTTTGGCAGTTAGGCACAGTGGACTAGAGTTTGATTCCCAGCAGTCATGTGGCAGCTCACAATCACCTGTTACTCCAGGTCAGGGGTCTAACGTCCTCTGTTGGCCTCCACAGGCACCAGGCATGCATTTGGTGCACAGACATACATGTAGACAAAATACACACACATGCAAAAATCAATAAATCTTTTAATAAGAAGGCTTTAAGCAAAAGCCAACTTGCAATTAATGCTACAAATGAATCAAAGGGAATCTCCAAGACAAAACCCATCTTAACTATGAGAGGGAATTTCTTCTCTACCTCTCAGCCTTTGCTTTCCCTTTGGGAATGTATTTTGTGCTGAGAACTCCTATCTCAATGTTTAAGGTGTTTGTACAGCCCACTGGTCCCTAAAATACAGTGTCAATACAGGTGTGGAGGCTACAGTGCCACTGCAATTTGCTTCACAGGAAGCGGGCAAGGATGGGGGATGAGGTGGTCCCGCCCTCTTCCCCTCCCAGAGCTCAAGTAAGACAAGCTACTCTGTTCTCTAGGAAAAGAAGGGTTTTCATGAATGGAGCTTTAAATCCAAAGTATGCTTCCTTGACTGTTGCTGGCTATGAAGGTCCAGCTCCTCCTAGTCAGCACC